TGTTGTATTGTCTTCTTCTCTGAAGGATGTGCGGATAGCAGCTCACTCTTTCTGGATCATCTCACGCTCCTCTGCCTGAGTCCGTGCTGTCCGGATCGTCCGGATCAGCTCCCGAAGTCTAATCGGAGCTGGCATTCTCTGTAAAACACAGGGAAAAGACACAGGTTGGTGCAACCACCAAAGAATAATCGAAGAAAAAGGTAGCATGGAAGACTTCCCCACCACTTTTTAATGGCAGCATTTGAGTACACAGCACTAATAATCAATCAGTAACAGACGAGACACTGACAATTAGTAATCAGTGTAAGAAAGTCATAACATTTCCAAAGGCCACAAACAAAAACAAGAAATGGAGATAGTTTCGGGGTAAAACAAGCTGTATGTTACATTGTTTGGAAATAGGATACATGTCACTGTATGCAATGTTTATGATATAAAGTAACATTTGAAAATAGAGTCTGTCGAACAAAACAATAGTGATGAGCAAAATAAGGCACAAATGTTATAGTATTTTAAGCCATTGAATTTGGCTTTAATACCCTTATTAAGAGTATCAGGGGTTTTGTTCCCCCACAGCTACTTTAAGGAATGCCTATTATAAGGCACTGTCTTGTCACAACCTTACTTAGAATGTATGGCTCCACCAAACCCACATCAGTAGAGGCAATATTAATATTTTCCCCTAACACACAAAGGGGTGCGTTTAGTCTCTGCTTTTATTTGTCAACAGACAGGACATACTATAATTAAACAGCTCCAACAACAGAAAAACATACTTATCTAAAAAATCTTTCAAAGTAACCAGCTTTAAAAAAAATAATGATTTTTGGCAACAAGAAACTACACATTACTGAACAAAGCACAGACTGAACACTATTGAAGTATGGACTATTGAACTAAATTGCTAATACATACTAGTGTTAAATAGCTTAATAATTGTGGGTTTCAATCATCACTAGAAGTTAGGCACTAAACAGTTTCATTATGAAGAATAATTGACTTGGCAACAATTTCATGCTTTCTAGTTATTTTGTAAATAGATGGTATTTATTCTGCTTGTTGGATTGTGCTCTTATTAGGTTTTATTTAAAAAAATAGGCATTTTCATTCCAAACTAAAAAATAGGTGGCATTAATAGGTTCATTTGGAGACTCCTAATTGACTGTAGCTGTGAACTTCAGGGTTAATGTTTAGGGATCTGTCCTCATTTTCTTCATGCCTTTAGCTAAACGGTCAGCAGAGATTTGTTTTCATCTTCCCTAAGCTAACATATACAAGATTATACTGTTGATCTTGCAGTGTTACAGTATTACAACTTGCATATGTGCAGTGGAAAAATCCACCATCTTTTTTACAACCATTAACCATCCCTGACTAGATTAAATTATTTGAAGATACGCCAGCCTGCGAAGTAAAGGTTCAGGATATAAATGAAGACCTGCCTAGTTGCATGAATAAGTACTTATTCATTCTAAAGAATGAAAGAATTTGAATTCACTGAAGAATAGTTGCTCAGGCCAGCATGAATGTTCAGACAAGGCCAGAATTTAATAAAGCCTAGATATACTGTCTGTTGTAACACCACTTTAATTACCTGTGCTGAATGGACCTAGTGTGGTGCCTTCATGAATCTTGGCCCTCCTCTTGCTGTGCTTCTAATCAAATGTGCACACATTAGAGAAACTAAATCCAGCCCAATGCCAACAACATAATAAACTCAATTTCCTAATTCTTTCAGCTAAAGTGTTTGGATGATATTGCACATATATTTGGGTTTCTGTAGCTTTAGGTTGAGCTTTGATTAGAGATTACAATGTGAGTGATGACAACAATAGTGATAAACACAATGGAATCTGACAACAAGAAATAAGTGTGTCATGTGAAACATTTTTAAACTATTGCCAGGTCAATTTTGTGGCCACAACAATCATGTCCACAAATAAGTATGACCATGAAGGTATTTCCAAACTGTCCAAACTAAACAGTTTAGTTTACCTAAGGACATCTGACCAACAGCAAAAAGAGACAGGTCTACATTCCTGCAAAAGGGTTATCAGCTACAATTGGGTGGTCCGTATAAATGCCGAAATACAAATGTGTGAATTCAGTGAGACTGTTGCTTTCTAGAGAACTATGCAACCAGCCATTACTATTTCTCTTCTTCATATGCATGTTTTCCATGCATTCTAAAATGGTTGCTGAGCGAGCTTTTTTTCCTCAGGAGATTTGGAGAACAGGTGTAGAAACCTTCAACAGCTTAACAACCAGCGGCAATCAAAAAGTAAACCACACCTTCCTTTCTCCACAGGGACCATTCAACATGTTAAGCCCGAGGCTTTAACCTTAATGCTTTAGGAGACTAAACATACAGTAACCCTAAATTGTTTTACATTATATTCCTAAATATTGCAAGGGTATGTTTAATAATGGAAAAAGGGCACAAATAATGTAATTACAAGTCTTGCACAGTTAAACTAGATCATGAGATGTGTAAGTTGAAATCAAATACAAACCACACCCTGGAAAAAAAAAAATTCTGTAATGTATTTAACAAGTGCTGGTGACTAAAATAGCAGAAACAAAGACCGTATTTTTACAAATACAATGTTCTCAATAACTGCTCATCTTTATTTTTCACCATTATGTGCCAACACAAGTCTGTCAAATTGACTGGTAGTTACATCTACCAATTCAACTATATTTTATTTGGCCAACCATGAACAAACATGAACCTCTTGGAAACGTGGGATTAATTTTGTCATCTAGACATTATCACCAAAACTGCTTTGGTGATCACATGATGTGTTACTAATTCTTGACAGCACAAATTCAAGACATATAATAGCAAAGACTGATGAGTCAAAGTTGAGTAGCACAAAGACACTGTAATGCTGTATTGTTTGCTAAGCTAAAAAAAACAAAAAACAAAGCATGAAGGTAAACCTGTATGTACGAACAATGGGGCGGGTAAGCACAATGTCAGATGCTAATTTTAATAGCAAACAAAAAAGGCAATTGTTCAACTGTTAATGTATATATTTGTTAAACTATATATACTATGTGAAAACTAATTAGGAAACGAACACAAGTTTGAAAATGCGAATTTAATAGCACACACCTTCAGAGAGTGTTAAATCATCAAAAATGGGGGTCGGGGGGTCAAGTAACAATGTCTTACAGGTCTGAGAGAGTGTTTTTATCTGTCCACTTGTATGTTTGCTACATCATTGTGATAAAAAAACAAACTCTTAAACACAAAACACAAAATCATGTATGTTTATTAATAGCTAGAGGAATACTACTTTTGTTTTGCAGCTGATCAATTTGACCGTACCCAGCTGAACCGAGCAGACTTTTTTTTAGGACTTATCGTTACAATAGCTGTTTAAAGTTGTGAAGGTTTTCTTTAGTTTGGCAGATCATATGGTAGATGACAAGATAAATTGTCCATCAAGTGGCAAAGCAGTGACACTTTTGGTTGTCAAAACACTTACCATGATTCCTAAAACAAAATTGCACTTTACCCCGCATAGGTTGGTAGTTAAATGCTCTGTTACACACTGAACTAAAAACTTGGGAAAACTTTGTGCTTGTTTTAATTTTATTTCAACACAAGAAAGAAAGAGAGTCATACATTACTCTTATTTCTACAAGTCCCTGCAAAAAATACAAACTGCAGATATCTTTTGTTAGACAGACTTACTGCAGTTATTTTTTATTAGAAAGTTGGGTGCACAGCCAACCAAGTACTTATTTTGAAAGTTGTTGAACTGAAGGAAGAACCTGTGACTGAGTGCAGTTTGTGGTAAATGTTTCATAATTACTTGTGATGAGAATTTTGTGCTGAAGCAAATTTTACTTCTCGTTTATGCTATCAACTGAAGGAAATTTACAAAAAACTATTATCAGCCAAGTCACACACCCGTTGCATTTCTGCTTCAAATATTGACCTAATCTTATTAATAACAACAAATAACGTAGTCAGATTTAAAATTGACTGATTAATTCAAGAGTTAAGTAAACTACTGTTCACTCCATCATTATATTTCCCTAAAAAATGTCACCCAATGTCAAATCTAATTATTGATTTATTTCTTAACAATTTACAGAACGCAATGTGAGCAAACAAAAGCAAACTTACTAAAACCATTGTGTTCAGACTTCACTCTGTTCACAGATGAGCAATCCATACATGTACACATTTACAAAGTTAGTGATTTTGTAAAACAATGTATCTAATTAACAATCAAACCAAACAGGTTCATGCCTAGATGTATATAGCTAAAGCCATACTCGAGATGCTAACATAGCCTAGATGTATATAGCTAAAGCCATACTAGTAGTTAATGTGTAGTTAATGTGAAGATATACAATGATAATATATTTTTACATAAACTATTTATAAAAACATTTCGGAGTTGTCGTACGATGTAAAAATGTGTGTACATTTTTAAATGTGTTTTGTTTTGGTTTTAAACAGGGGCACAATATTAATGTTTAGGGAAACCACTGTTTGAGGTGTACAGCTACAGAAAAACAGAAGAACAGAAGGTAGTTCGCATACATGTAAAATGCTCATCCTGAATACAAAACACACATTTTGTACAGGTGTCACCGGTTCTTCACGTCACACTCTTTGCTCACTTCCTACTTGCTGCTGACTTCCTTGGCGATAGTTATTAAATGTTCAATAAAAAAGACGTTTAAGAAGTATCATCGGGGACGATATATGCATTATAAAGCATACGATAAATATTGGTTGCCTTTAATCACTGGGGTTATTAATATCTAACCGTGCCAAACTATTAGAAAGCTTACTCGACGTATATGTTGCTTCGTCTAACTGCGTATTTATTCGTTTTTTTGTCCAACGTAAAAATAAGTTGTATGTCACTTTAGGAGTCATGCATAATTTACTAAATGTTAAAGATCTACCCAAGATGTTTCAAGTCAGCTAACATCCTGCTAACCCTGGTAAATTAGAGAAAGGACAACGTATGGACATGTCATTTCAACACTGGCTTCTCCTTGGATGACATGTGCTTGAAAATATTAACATTATTGTATCGCCCGACACAGTTAATTTAAGTTATGAAAGGCTGATTTTGTTTGCGAAATTAATATATCATGATGTAAGGCCTTCTTTAGGCATTTGGGAAACCGAGCTAGCGAACCCTGTCTGGTGTTAGCTTGCTGCCTGACCACTCATTTATTTCTGAATTTCTTAACCCGAATACTACATGATAAAATAACACAATGACTCATACGTTGGGTTTTTTGGAATACAACAGCAATTCATTCGGCAAAACACATTGTCACTATGATTAAGAGTTGGTGTGAACAAAAACATTATATATGGTTCTGGGGCTGAACATCCTCAAACAGCAGGTAGTGAGCCGGGCTAGTGAGAGTGCTAACTACGCTAGCTGACTTAGCCGCTGACAGGCACAACCCCGGTGCACTGAGGGCTGTGACTTCCTATGCAGTACTGGACTCAGTTGACAACGCAGATACAGTCGAACCAACCATTATTTTCACATACGAAGCAAATATCACACAATTTCACCAGCATATAATTCAAGGACAATACTTACTGGCCGCAGTGATGCCAAAAAAGAACTGAATCCGTCTCTCTATTAGCAATGGAGGGAGGAACACACCAGGCATGCAAAATGGTGGCTACTCCAGCCGCAGCACATCTACCGCAGGCGGAGGGTTACACTGACTGACATATCCCAGAGGTTAGTGAAAGAAGCGCGGACTCAGCTGCCGCACTGAGCTCTACCGTCCCACAACAATATTTAACCACATCTGCAGCTACAGGAGCCTCTCTCCGATTTTCCATCCTGATATGACATTGCTCATCGGGCATCATGGGTAATTAGTCAATTCTTCGTTTATATTTGTTTTTAATTATACGTATGTATCATTACCCAGTGATGTTTAGCTGGTAGGCGTCGCTACCATCCTTTGCATTGACAATAAAGGGCCGACGCTAACGTTAAGCCAGCACAACTAATGCTACCCTTAACGACTGTTAAATCTTTAAATTCAACTGATCATCATGTCATTGTTTTTGTTGCTCTTTGCATCTTCTGTATACTGCGAAATGATTGTTATTTCTATGACAAAATTAATTTGTTTTGGGTTTTGAAACGGCACATCTTACGTTAACTTTGCGGAGGAATACATATTTTCGGGACAGTGTCGTGCTACGGTCCGTTTACTCGTGGCAGTCAGTGATGACGACTGCTTCTAATGTTATGACATTAGCACTTCAGTGGTCTGGAGTGCCCTCTAGTGTCAAAACCCTTCTCTTCTCTTAATTAATGACGATGAAGGACTCATTAATAAACTATGCGTAAGATCTAGGTAACGTTTTGTATTGTAATTGTTTTTCTTTTAGCACTAAATCATTCATAATTTACTAAAAATGTACCTGCACATTAATTTAAATGTATTGTTTTTATTTTCCCTTATTTACTTAACAGACACGTATGGATTCTCGTGATATGTTGAATCATTTTTGGTCATAATAATAATAATCTTAATTAAATTATGCTACGCTGTCACTAATGCAAAAGATCATTCAGTAAAACGTCTTCCTGGTGTCTCTGTATATGTACAATTATTATCAACCACCAAACTACCAAAGTCTATTAAGAACTTTCTATGCAAATACTCTCACTCTCAATTCTACATATGAAAAGTTACACTTGTCAATTACATTTGCCTGAAGAAGAAAATGTATTTGTGTTAACCCATTTGAATCTTCTGATCACTCCTCTTCTTCCCCTTATTTTTATTAGCAGAAGTATAAATAATTGTAACATACTATATAACTTCTTAAATAAAGCTCACAAGTAAAATAAAAAATACTAGTATTCAAAGTTATTAGCCCTGTAATCCAAATGGTAAATTATCTATCCTGTTTGCTGAACTAAAGTTTACAACACTCTACACGTATTTGTAGTTAGATGGGTGTATAAACTAGTCAGTGATATTCGAGTTCCTCACTTGTTTCCATTCAACCGGTCTGTTTCTCCGTGGGATGGAGTTCTTTGGAGTATATACAGTATCACTCCCTTTTATGGCACCATCTCGATGGTGAAATACTTCTTTGTCTTTTGCCAGTATGCCTCATGTTTCATTTATGTTTCAGACTATGCTAGAGGTATGGTGTAGTTAATGCTTCTTGGTGCCTTGTGGTCCGTTTGTACGGAAAGACTTTTTCACCTTTATTGCAATTTGAAACATGACTTGTTATTTGTCCCACACGACTTAAACGCAGCAGGACTTTATGTCGCCCCTGGTTGGTATCCCACAATTCAGCGCGTTGTCGCTTCGTCCTTTTCCGTTTTCGCTCGTGGATCAGCTGAGTCCATGGTTTGTGGCTGCAGTGAATGAGTGAGTGAGTGCAGTGGCTCTTCAGCGGAGCAGCTCTCCGCTGCTGCTCCAAGATCCGATCACTTTACCCCCGACACGGGAATTTTCAGCGGATCCAAGGATGTGACGACTTAACGGCTTAACGTTGTTTTTATTTTTTGAATGAGACGTAGACGGTTAAACACATTTTTTTGTTTTGTATTTGGACCATCATCCGTTCACACTTCTAGTGCAGAATCCACATGTACTGGGATCTCCATGGAGTGAGGAGTAGGAGATTCCCTTGTCTTTTCATCAGGAGAGGACAATATAATATGTCCAGACGAAAACAGACGAACCCATTCAAAGTCCACTGTAGGTATTATCTCAGGTATCCGATGTCTAATACTACACCATGAGGCATGTCACGCTTATTATCTGACAGCGATCGTCGGTACAATTTCGGTGCATCAACAACAAGATGCTGCTGTTATGGATTTGACGAGACATTAAGTGCATTATATAAACAGTTACGTTAGCTAACGGTACGCATCTAAGTAAATTTGAAATAAAATCAGATTGCTGATTGTAATCATACTTTATTTTTGGCAAAGAGGTAGTAGTTATGTTGTAACACGGCACAAATCCGTCTTCTCGGAGTTGATTATTAAAACCCAAGAATTTCAAGTAGGCAACAGAACTGGTTTAGGTTTCTGGGATACGTTTTAACTCTTCTTTTTGTTATTCCACGAGAAAATATAATTTGTAATTAATACTACCTGGATAGTTTAAACCAACTCATTACGGTGACATGTCATTTCAGCTGAATGAAATAGTAAGAACATAAGTGATATGAATCGATTTTAAAGATCCAAATTCTATTGGCCTCTGTATGGCCACTGTGTAATTGTTGGTAACATAGCTGACTTTGTACATTTAAAAACAATTGAAAAAGTGGCTCGTGAAGTACATTGAATATTTCCTGACATGCAACATTTGCCACAATAAATTAAACTAAGTAACTAAGTTTACTTTCTGTGTCCCTTTCTCTTAAGGCTGGTCAATTTACTAACCAGGGACACACTTGGTCTCGCTACATTTTTTTTAAACAAAATACTTGTTTTTTTATTATATTGATATTATATCTTTTTTTTAAACAAAATACTTGTTTTTTGTTTTTATTATATTGATATTATATTATTACATACCAATGTTGAGTTATTTATACATAGCTGTGCATACATTGTCTCTTGTGTTTGTAAATCTCAACGAGGCCGTTTCAGTGATGTCAGTCTGTGGTCGTATCAGTTTGCTCACACATGTCTGTTTCAGCACCAGATTACATGAGAGCTCTAGAGCTCTCTAGAGCAGTGGTCACATTTCCTTGTGAGCAGTGGTGTGCTGTGTCACAATGACAAGTAGTTCACTTTGCTAGAGAGATGACAGCCAGCAATAAAAAAAAGCTGTTTAAATATCACGCGACTCCTTAAAAATGTAAACACCGTCTACAGCTTGTTCCATACACAAGCGCCTCAATGCATTTTAGATGCATTAAACCATAAACCATGTACATTATGGGTCTGCAAAAAGATTGAGCCAACATTGAACAAAACAAAATAGCATCACATTTGAGCATCCTTTGCTGCATAAATTCTTAATTGATACTTTTAAGGGACACAAGTGATGATGAAATTACATTTTTCTTTCATGACGTGTGGCGTTAAAATGATTTGTTTTTGAGAAAGTAATTTATGACTTGTTTATTGATATTATCATTATTATTAATTAAGAACAACAATAATCATAGTATTGATAATAATACCAATGATAATAACGACAACAATGATAATACCAATACTCTTTGATAAAACATCTGTCTCCTTGCTTCCTGGATTCTCTCACTGAAGGTCAGCATACTGAACCATATGCTGACCTCCTAAATACCCCTGAGTCCACTGTAAGGGATTTTCCTGTCTAAGCTACTGAAGTTATGTGTGCTGTTGCCCTCATTTCTAAACATAGTTTGCTGTAACTGCAGTGGAGACACAACTTGTGTCAACACCTGTGGCGACAGTAATCTCAAGTCGCTAATGAACTATTGACTAATGTGCCACGCAGATTTGAGTAAAAATCTGAAACCCTTCTGAGATGATGGGGGGTGATGGATATCAGTAACCCCCCCCACTTGGCCCTCCGCACCTCCATGATGTGAGGCACAGTTTTGATTGATTGTTTGATCTTTTTTGTGAGTTATGCTTTGTTTGCAAAGAGCTGCCCAGACAGGGTCAGACCAGACTGACAGACTGACAGACCAGACAGGCAGGGCGGCGGTCTGAGAGACAGGCAGACTGACACACACACATGCACACACACAATCACAGTCACACAAGGAATTCCAGACAATAATACAACTGTCCTGTCGGCCTTGTCTTCTTGTTTTCCATCTTAGGTCTGATCTCATACAGCGGTTTAGAAAAGTTCATCACCAGTTAGTGTTTTGGTTCAGTTAAAGTTCTAAAGTTATTCTGCCTAACTTTTAGAGCCAAAAAACTGGTAATTTAATCATTCCTATAAAGTACAAGTTTAAGTTTCATTGCATATTTCTGGTATGACTTTGTGTATGTGTGTAAGACTGGGGCCCCAGAGCCCCCTGCACATTCAGATGACCTGTGTTGTGTGTGTTTCTGAGGGGACTGTCTGGAAAGAAGAAGAAAAACGACTGTGAATGAACCGGGAACCCCCATTGCTTAGTGTTTGAGTAGAGTTTTCACATTCTGTCTTTTGTCTGTTTTGTTTTGCATGCCCCCCCACCTACACTCTCTCTCTCACACACACACACGCACACTCCACTCTCACTCTTGTATGTGTCTGTTGGCTTATGAGTTTGTTTCTTTGTCTGGACTCGGTCAGACACTGCGTCACCTCCTGCCTACAGACACACAGACTCTGAGATAACATCACAGTGGCAGAGTCTGAAGCGGTGGGAGGAGGGTGTGTGTGTATGTAGCGATGGTAATGGTGGTGCTGGGGGGTGCCGTGGAGTTAGAGGAAAGAGACAGATGTACAGACGGACTCCTAAGAGTGGGGGATGGGTATCTCTCCCACATCAATCTAATGTGCTGTGAAAGCAGTCTGTTCTTGTAGATATTTTCAAGTAGTTCAATACTGCGCCCCCCCTCCCCTCGCTCTAATGACTCAGTAGAAAAGTGACTAAACTGTGTGAGAGCAAACTACCTGCTACTAATGAACTACTACAGTACATTTTCCGTACTCGCCTCGATATTGAAAACATATTTTGCTAAACCGACACCACTGGCAAAAATGTACCTCAACAGGGATAATTCGATTTTGAACCATTTCTGAAAAACTGAAATTTTAAAATGTTACTCAAGTTATGTAACCTTGATCTGTGTCATTCCCTACGTTATTTCTGTCTAACTAATGTTAAAGTCCCTCTCTGCTCCCGGCTCCATGTCAACGGTGATTTGTTTCCACAAATACAATCTTAAAAGTATGTTGACAGTCACATTGTACTGGTGTCTAGTTATCTATATTTGTCTTCAGTCTCAAGCACTAAAACAATAATGGTGAAGTTATTGTTTTTGCTTTTGGCATCAAACAACAGGGCTTCTGTCCAACAATGAGTGGCATCACAAAGAGTTAAATGAGCCACATATGGGCCATCATGGTCTGAGGCTGTGGGCTACCCCCCCCCCCTTCCGCCCCCCCTTTCCCAGAGAGCTGATGATACAGATATTAAAGCATTGAGAGCCTCATAGAAGCAGGCAGGACAGAGGGAAAGACATGCTGTTCATTGTGTGGGTGGTGCTGGGAAAGAAGCTCACTGAGGAGTGCGGCGGTTAACTAAAGGAAAAATAGTGCAGGCGTTTCCCCCCGTGGGACTGCAGCATGGACATGGAGCACAACTAACATGTATCTACCAGTGGATATGTGTGTGAAAAAATGGGGGTTGGGATGCAAATGAAATTAATGTCTGTGTGTGGAGGGGCACGTATGTCTCGAGACCCGATGTTTAGCCTTCATTATGATGGTTCCATGGATACAGTGGCTCAGTGATTGTTGTATTTGTTGCCCCCCATCAACATAATATCCAAACATCATCAGACAAATTGGGAAAAAATCTATTCATTTGCATTTCTGTGTTTCAAGTGGCAAGATGTTTTGTAAGATCATGGTGAATTCAGTCTCCCACTATGTCAGTGTTACCAGGTGAATGTGCTAATGTTAACACACGTGCTGCATCACCATAGGTGCAGCATCCATGTTGCCATGGAGTTAATTCCGTCACGTTGAGTAAGAGTTTAACCTTGGAAAATGTGCCTTCCTTTTATCCAATGCACTAGCCGATGAGTCCAGTTGATAACCCTGTCTTTTGTCCATCTCCAGGGCCATTCCACACCTCAGGCGTCACAAGATTTCAACACGTCATTAACATGGACGGCAGGGATGAATTCACCGAAGACAATGAGTGCTGCAGCAATAACTCCCAGGACAACCAGGACCAGGATAGCATTTCAGGTACAGGCTGGAGTGACAGGACAGGGAAGGACTTGATGGATTCTGTAGGAACATCGTCCGACTGAGGGCTGTTGGTGAGAGTAAGCCCTGCTCTCTGCTCTGTTGTGTGTCTGTATTGATAGGGCTGTGTTTGCCTCCATAGAAGACAGTGATAGTGAGCTTGACCACCACGGTGAAGATCTGTCCTCCAACACCTCTGCTGACGACCACATGAGCACCAAGAGAACACAGTGCCGCCTTCAAGGAGCGGGAGTTAAAGAGGTGAGCCGAGAGGCAGTGAGACGTCTGAAGACCAGAGTCAGTGGTTTTGTCCAGGAGCCAGTGATATTCCCTGTATCAAATTTAAAATTCTGAATGTACAGAACTGATTGTAATTATTGTGAACAAAACATGCTATATATTTGACTAATGTAGTCGTTTTGTCACTGAATGCTGAACTAGGTTTTGTGGCACTGGCTGACAGTTATCCAGCTGACTTTGTCAAACAGCAGCACAACACACACAGTGGTTGAACGTCAGCGCTCCAGCAGCAGTGACGTTGTTTCCCCACTTCTGGTAGACAATGTTCTGTATATATTACTGTGTGTGAGTCACATCTGTGACAGCACACCACATCATGTTAATCTATGTGAGTCACCGGGGCTTGTGGGAACATTTTACATTCATGCCCATTATTATACAGACCTGCAGAAACCCTGAAGGCGAGTACACGACAGTTGCTTTATTTTAAAGTTCAAACGACAGGATGTGGTGTCCTCAAAATGTCAAAGTTTTGGGAAATTACAGTGTGCTATGACCAGTATGAGCACAGCACTGTGGTACGTGGCGGAGCAGCCGATGTAATAATAATGTAGATGTGTTGTTATGTTTGGCTCTTTCCTTTAGGAAAGCGAGGACGGGGGAGACCACCTTAACAACTTTGTTTGTCCTCTTTGCACGCTGGATTTCAGCAGCCCTGAGAAGCTCATCTCCCATGTCTACCAGGTAAACACAACTTTGACTCAGCAATCCTGGTGCACGAGAAAAACATGAACTAGTGTCTGTTTCAACAGGAACTCTGTCTTTTAAAAGATCAGGAACAAACAACCCTTCCATTTTAAAAGTGGAAATTGAAATATCCAGTGATTTTAAATGGTGAGATTATACTTGAATTGTTTAATATTTCTGGGTTGTTTTTTTTAACAGCACACGTCCGTGATGAGCAACACAAAGAGCTACGTGTGCCCAGTGTGTGGGCGAGCCATGAGTTCGCCAGGCTCACTGGGAAGACATCTTCTCATCCACTCTGAGGACCGCCTCTCCAACTGTGCCGTCTGTGGCGCATGCTTCACAGATACCAACAACTTAAACAGGTCTCGGTCATTTTTACTGTTGACACTAGTTTAGTTTTAGAAACACTGATTCAGCATAGTAATATTAGGATGATTGATAGGGCTGTGTTTGCCTCCATAGAAGACAGTGATAGTGAGCTTGACCACCACGGTGAAGATCTGTCCTCCAACACCTCTGCTGACGACCACATGAGCACCAAGAGAACACAGTGCCGCCTTCAAGGAGCGGGAGTTAAAGAGGTGAGCCGAGAGGCAGTGAGACGTCTGAAGACCAGAGTCAGTGGTTTTGTCCAGGAGCCAGTGATATTCCCTGTATCAAATTTAAAATTCTGAATGTACAGAACTGATTGTAATTATTGTGAACAAAACATGCTATATATTTGACTAATGTAGTCGTTTTGTCACTGAATGCTGAACTAGGTTTTGTGGCACTGGCTGACAGTTATCCAGCTGACTTTGTCAAACAGCAGCACAACACACACAGTGGTTGAACGTCAGCGCTCCAGCAGCAGTGACGTTGTTTCCCCACTTCTGGTAGACAATGTTCTGTATATATTACTGTGTGTGAGTCACATCTGTGACAGCACACCACATCATGTTAATCTATGTGAGTCACCGGGGCTTGTGGGAACATTTTACATTCATGCCCATTATTATACAGACCTGCAGAAACCCTGAAGGCGAGTACACGACAGTTGCTTTATTTTAAAGTTCAAACGACAGGATGTGGTGTCCTCAAAATGTCAAAGTTTTGGGAAATTACAGTGTGCTATGACCAGTATGAGCACAGCACTGTGGTACGTGGCGGAGCAGCCGATGTAATAATAATGTAGATGTGTTGTTATGTTTGGCTCTTTCCTTTAGGAAAGCGAGGACGGGGGAGACCACCTTAACAACTTTGTTTGTCCTCTTTGCACGCTGGATTTCAGCAGCCCTGAGAAGCTCATCTCCCATGTCTACCAGGTAAACACAACTTTGACTCAGCAATCCTGGTGCACGAGAAAAACATGAACTAGTGTCTGTTTCAACAGGAACTCTGTCTTTTAAAAGATCAGGAACAAACAACCCTTCCATTTTAAAAGTGGAAATTGAAATATCCAGTGATTTTAAATGGTGAGATTATACTTGAATTGTTTAATATTTCTGGGTTGTTTTTTTTAACAGCACACGTCCGTGATGAGCAACACAAAGAGCTACGTGTGCCCAGTGTGTGGGCGAGCCATGAGTTCGCCAGGCTCACTGGGAAGACATCTTCTCATCCACTCTGAGGACCGCCTCTCCAACTGTGCCGTCTGTGGCGCATGCTTCACAGATACCAACAACTTAAACAGGTCTCGGTCATTTTTACTGTTGACACTAGTTTAGTTTTAGAAACACTGATTCAGCATAGTAATATTAGGATGTAGGGCTGGGTATTGTTAAGAATCTCACGATTCCAGATGTTTCCTTTTTAAGTACTCTGAATTGTAGCAGTTTATGTCTCTGTGAGCGGGCTTATATATGTATATATGTACTACCAACACACCCCTCACTGCTGGAATAACTCACTGCCAACTAACACAATAGGTGCAATCACCTCCCCGCTGCCCCTCTCCGACAACAGGGGGCACTGTTCTCCTCTGAACTCATGCTGTCCTTCAACACAAGGGGCTTGGATCAATCCAGAAGATTCTGAATCGATGTTGAATTGGGGGGAAATAATTGCAATGCATTGATAAATCGATATTGTTACCCACCCTATCAGGAAATAAGTCGCCTTAAAAAAATTAAAAACATTTTACTTAAGAAATTCAAGACTGAAAAAGAGATTTAGATTCGTTGTATTGATTTCTAGTACAAATACATGTGTTAATTGTTGCTTATCTTTTCCTCCCTTCAAACATGGTCTTTATGTAAATTTGAAAATGATCATTTAAAAATATATTTAAGTGTATTCTTATTCAGCTGGCACTCTTTGTAGCATTAGTGATATTAGACTGTGAGATAAACAGGAGTGATGAATAAAATTAGTTCTGGAAATGTGAATGTGAGTGAATGCAAAAAAATGTGCAGGTTGCTTAGCAACTATCATGACTTACCAACTAGAAAGTCACATTTAATTTGCCCAGACCAGGTCTGAACACAGTAGATGAGCAGAAGGAGAGATGTAATAGGAGCGTATAGAAAAACAAACCATAACTGTATACATTTGGTGAGCAGATGGTGTCAGATGTTAGAGTTCACACCCTCAAACAGTACTGTTGGTTGATTTACTGTTGAAATAATGAAGATATTTGTAGTGTGTAATCCAAGGCTACATTTGACAGCACACAACCGTCAGAAAATCAAAATGATCATGTGATGTGTTGTTTTACAGGGAGAAGCTTAAGGAAATATTTGACACATGCAGAATGAATGTTTCTGACGGAAGAGACACGCCTCCCATGTCTCAGTCTCTGTCCAGCAGTCCCATCGACAGTCCAGGCCTTGGCCCTCGCCCCTGTCATGCACCAGGCCCCAGCCCCAGTTCCTGTCAAGGTCCGCACCCATGTCAGGCCCGTGATCATAACGCCAATTTATGTCAAGCCAGTCCTACCTGCCAGGGACCAGGGCACATCTCAAGTCATTGTCCAGGCCCAAGGCCTTGTCACGGCGCGAGCCAAGGCCCTGGACCATGCACAGGCTCTGAACAAGGAACCTCTTTTCCCTCATTACCAGATGGTTTGCTCTCTGAAGGGCCATCTCTGGCATCGATCCCAGATGCTCTTAACTCCTCTTCCTCAGGCCTTCCTCCTATTCCTGACATCTTGAGTTCCATGCCTGTATATCCTGCAGGAGTGCTGCTGGTGTGCAACAGCTGCACGGCTTATCAACAGCTAATGGAGGCTCAGTCGCCAATGAGAAAATGGGCCATGCGCAGGAAGAACGAACCCATAGAAGCTCGAGTGCAGCGGTTAGAACGTGAGCGCACGGCAAAGAAAAACAAGAGGGCCTGTGAGACGGATGAGGAAAGAGAACTGAGGAGGCTGCGTGACCGCGAGGCCAAGCGCATGCAGAGGATGCAGGAAACAGACGACCAGAGGGCCCGCAGGCTGCAGAGAGACAGGGAAGCCATGCGTTTAAAGAGGGCCAATGAGACGCCTGAGAAGAGGCAGGCTAGGCTGATCCGCGAGAGAGAGGCAAAGAGGATCAAGAGACGGTTGGAGAAGATCGATCCCGCGCTAAGATCCCAGATAGAAAATGACCCTGCCGCTATGGCCGCTCTCACGGCCGACATGAGTCTCTTTCAGTATCCCTGCACCATGCCGGTCTCTTCCATTGACAATGGTCTTTTCATGAAGCTGCCCTAACTGGGACAGACCACCAGGGGCGTTAGTGTCTGATACATGACTGAACCTCATCACCACACTTGCACTCTACTACCAGACCCTTCTGGTCAAAGCAAACTATACTTGGCTGGTTTACCACCACCAGCACCGTGGTGTGGAACAACTCACACTAACAGCATCGTTGAATACTGGAAAAAAAAAAAAAAATACACATTTCTTATTTATTAATATGTAGAAACCCTTGGGAACAGGGTTGAGGATGTTTCATATTGTATGGATGATGACGTCAATGCATGTTGTAAAGAGATTTTATCTTTTTTGTCATTGAACTAGAGAATTTGGCACAGATCATTCTAGTAGGAGCAGTTCTACTTCCTGTGAGGAAACGGAGATCTTTTGCACATGGACCTTCTGTACAGGGGGTGGAGACACTAGCCACCGTCCCCTCATCTCTGGTCCACTCTGCCAGGCCAGTGACTCTGGGCTTACTAGTAGCCACACCTCTCTCTTCAAGCTGCTACCTTGAGTCCATGGGAAGTTCATATTCAAGTCAAACTACTACCTCAGCCGATGGCATGGCCACCACCTCTGTCCTGTGGCGTACTGCGACTCAACTCCAGCTTCCAAAGCTTTCTTTGCTGTACACGTCTACAGAGAATGACGCTTGGTTTTCAGTAACTCTTTGGTTGCATTTATCACAATGGCACTTTTAATAAGACACAAGCATTCATGGACGTAAAGTTGTCAATTACTTTTTACTTTGATGTCACACACATAGACTGTGTTAAAGCACTGGACAACTGACCAAGAACTCACAGGTTGCCATATTTGCCTGGACTGTTGAGCTCCACTGCTAACAGCAAAACAACATAGTAATGCCAGTGTGTGTTTTTACATACCAGCCAAGAGGGGCTTGATGTCACCTTTGCTAGTAGCTCCCTCTGTTGGATCAAACTGTTACCACTACAGACAGTCTGGGACTGGAACCATTAAACTATAAATTTGACCTCTTATTTTGAATTGATCATCAAACCTAAAACGACAACTGGCAGAAATGTATTTTCTCCAAATTTACACCTTTGAGCAGAAAAACTGGATGTGTTGTCAGAATGAATGTGCCAAGTGTAGAGCAACATTCCCGTCACACTTTCCTAAGTCACAAATCTTTATTCAGTCGTACATTTGCCTCTTTACATCCTGTTTGCCATTGTAAATAATATCTATTTTCTTGAAGCTGTTACACTATGAATTATTTACCAATGCCATTTTTTTTTTTTTTTTTGCTGTTGACTAAGTTTCTCAGAGCCAGAAAATACTCTTTAATTGCTGCTGTTGTACTGTACTGTATCAAATACCTCTCCTACAGTCTGGGCTCATCATGTTTAGGATTTTGTGTTGAAATGCTCCACTATTCTTTATGTTACTGAACATGGAGTTTATTCTGTTACTCGTACCGTGTCAGTGGTGATGTTTTTGTTTTTCTTATAAAAGGATGCCATCATAGGGTCACACACACACACACACACAGACAATGCAATGTGTTCATGCAACTTTTGTAGCGATGTAAGGCTGAATCGACCTCAGAAATGAAAAGAAGTTGTTTTTGTTTTCACAAATGTCTCCTCTGTGAGTTGAAACTCTTGGATTCCATGATCGGACCTCATGTTTTTAACATTTGTTTTCCTGTATTTGACAGAGCCAGAAGCTACTTTTATAAAATGTAGAGCCATTACTGGAAGACACATTTATGCAATATGATGTGAATATATACAGTATATATATATACTGTATATGTATATATACTGTATGTACACATATACAGTACATATACACATATATGTATACGTTTCGAAAGATATGTGCAGTTCTATTGTATCTGTTCGCGATATTTCTTTTTTTATTTTATTTTAAACAAATTCCCCTCATACAGTTGGTAGAAGCATTGTTCTGCAGAACATATACATGCATCACTAACATGTGAAATATATTGATCGAAGACAGGTAGTTCTCTCTTCAGTCCCTTCTTTTAAGAAACCAATCTACCTGTGTTTGCAAAACTTCAACTATAATCCGTATCATTTTTAGTTAATCCATAGTGTTCTAGCAGTGCATCAATCCTCTATGCAACAGATGTTATTTATTCCAAATGCATTCACTTTTCACAAAAATCTATGCAGTGTCTGAGTTTACTGTAAAGAAATTTCAGTATTGAGAGATTAGCTTCTCAGGCAATTTTACTCAGTGAGGGGGCTCAGAGCTTAAACACAACAAACCCACTCCAAAAGAACTCGGTTTGTCTGTAAGAGGCAGCCTTGTCTTCTATAACATGCATTCTCTTCAGCACGGAAAAGGGACAGGGTCTCACTGCCGTCAAACCCGTGACATGTACTGTACAAAGGGTCGATCAGAAAGCTGCAGGTGTCCTTCCTCTCAGACTGGCAGTTGGCTAATCTCAGAATTATCATGAGACAGAAATAATTTTTCTTTTCGAAAGAAGGATCGTGTCGAGTGCTGCATGTGGTGAAACCGCACTTGTCCTGAAATGGTTGGATCTGAGCTAGTTCTATCAGTTTATGCCTGCCTTTTACAGTTAAAAAATATCATGTGAAAATGTTGGCCTTTCTCCAAAACCTTTGTTGGGATGTCTTCTCAATGTCAATGTTTACAAAACTCCCTAACAACAGGGCCAAATTCTAATATGAATACATTCTGACTGGAATGCCTTTTGGGGGCACCATTGTATTTCTGGATTCACAGATGTACAGGCCGTAAAGAAACCTGGTAACGATTGTGGAAATAAATGTTGACTTTTACTGTAACAGTGGCTTCCTGTGTTGCTTAGCTTTATGTTTTCTATAACACACTATGCGCTAATGAAGATGTATAATTAGAACATGTTTGGGCAAAATCTGTCCAAGCTGCAAATTGTTCCCAAAAGGGGACATCTGAGTGATTGAAGTAAAAGTAGGCAACATTTGATTTGTTTCTTAATTATTTATGAATTGCCTCCTCCTCTACAGGAAGTGCACTAATACTTCACCTGATCTTAAGTAATTCAAGATCAATGATTAAAATGTACCAGTTTAAGTAAGTGCAGCACTGTGAGCCATACACCTCCAACAATGGTGTACAAAAATCATTCAAAAAAAGAGATATAAACACATTATAATCACAATAAATAATGTAATTTTTGGCATTTATCACAGTTATAAATAGATTCATCACTGACTGTTTTGCTCACCCTCCACTTTGCTTTTTTAAAATTTAAAATCTGTTCTTAAATCATTTTTGTTGCACCACTGCCACCTGTATGTTATTCAAGGGAATCTCCATCCTTTGCCAAAAAAGGAAAATCTGAAAAATTAGACCTTCTAAAGACACAGCACCACATTTGTCTTATTAATATTTAACACAACATGTGTTTTCACATTGTAAAATCTAATATTAAAGGACATTTCTGAATACCGTATCTTCAAAATGAAAATCTGCAGTTACTTACAGTACATCACAGTAATCCATATCATTTATTTCAAGATTATTATTATTGGACTATTAAATCGTTTGATTTAGTGTGATAATTATTTATGTAATTATAATATAATATATATAAACATATATAATCACATATCATATATATGATATATATATACGTATATTATATACTTAAAAAAATAACAGGAAATACAGTTGGCCTTTTGGTTCTCTTACATTATCAAATCCATTCTATTTAAATAAAGAGCACAGCACACAAGTTTACGTATGGTTTATATTTATATTTGTATATATGTATATATTATATTGTGGTGACTTAACAAACATGATATATGCAATGTCTCCAAGTTAGCTATAACAATAAAAATACAATATCTTTGTGTCCTTACATAGACTTAAAACAGCAAAAAGAAAAAAAAAAAACGCTCATGTAGTTCAGAGGTACAAATATACAGTACAAATCTATTTTATTTAGAAAGGGTAAAAAGGAAAAAAAAGAAAAAGAAATGCAACAAAATAGAGATATTAATGCTTTTGTTAAAGTCAGGTAGGTGTAGGGTTTCCTAAGGGAGCACTTTGGGTCAACAACTCTAAGGCTTCTGATACAGATCAATACATATTGGTACAGCCATACAATAGTAAAACTTACTATACAAAGTTTATACGACCTGGATTATACTTGAGGATTGAAAGTTACACAAACATCATTGCATATATTTAGGCATTTAAAAGAAACATTGCTGTTTTTGATTTGTTTTACCATAGTTACACATCACATAGAAAGCAGGATCACCTTGTGCCAAAGAAGTACGTCAATTTTAAAAGTACAGACTTTAAACTCTTCTAACCCACGTCACCACCACCAAAACTGTCCCTTACTTCAATTTCGTTAAGTTCAATACTGGATCAAGCAGAAAGCAGATCACACACGCGGGTGTGAATTCCTCCTCTCCTTATGTCATAAAACATTACAATTTGACGATTTCCAACATCTCACAGCTGCATCACAGATTAACGCTGTCTGCCTTAATCAAACAAATCCACCTTCAGTGACTAGAGGACAAAACACAACACCAGACACAATCCATTAATATTAAGAATCAAAGAAACTAGATATTGTGTGCAACAAGAAAAACAAATAACTGGTGTGTGTGAGTCTGTCTGTCTGTGATGTAGAAGACTGACCTAGACTGCTCTTGCATCATCTTGTAAAACTGCAGAGACAAGCCAACCGTTTACTTAACATCCAGACACGAAAGGAAAACAACTGTTGAAACTCAGAGAAAACAAAATAGAAATAAAACATAGTACATGGTTTAACTATCCACAGCCAAAAGAATTATTTTGTTACTCTTTGATTCATTTCAAAAGTGTCAAGTCTGACAAGGCATTAATAAGGATTTCAGTTCACACATTGTACACAGCAGAATGTAAGGCATCATTAAAACCATCTATACAAAAATATCTACAAAATTACTCGGGCTGTGATTTTCTAGGACTTGTGTGCTTGACATTTGCTTTAAATGTTTTACATTTGCTGAATTCTGAATTTAAAAACACTTTGAATGAGGGAAATTTAGTGCAACTGGTCTTCAGCAAAGACTCTCAGAGATATAAATATGATTCAGTGGACATCTTGGTGAATGTTGCCTAATGTTTTTGCACAGGATGGTCTTTCAGTATGAGGTAACAGGAGGTAAAGTCACAGGAGGCACTGTGTGCACGATTAAAAACATTTGACCTAACAGTTGGTTGTTGACATGGAATGAACGTTGACAAATTAAACACAAACCTCTGAGAAGACAATGATATTTCAGTGTGCGATAATGTTATTAAGGACCAAATTAGCCAGGAACCTAATATGAGTTATGGTATTTCTAGAAAAGGCTTTTATCAACAAACTTGAGTAGCAGAAAAGACTGCATCTGGCAGCACGCTTTTCAGTCCCACAGAGCTGTCCCTAAGACCCAATGCATAGAAATGCCGCTACTACTACGAAGTGTTCTCAGATATTTTATATATTGCTTACATTGTGTCAGGTTCTATTGATAAGATGCCTTCTGTTTATTTACCTTTATATTTTCAATAACAAATCTCGCCCTTTAAACATGCTACTGTCAGTGCTGTCAGTATGGTAAAAAGGTCAGTGTTTGGTTGAACACAGACCAAAATCTCCAACTGTGTCTGTCATTTGAGGACACAGTCTGAACAATAAGGTGGGGTGTTGGACCCATTATTGGTGTAGAAATATTATAACAGTTCTGTTACACGAGGAAGAACTTAACAAGACGCCACAGTGCATGTTAACCATAGTGACTGTCAGACAACAATAGAATCTAGTGTTAGTACAGGCAGTAACAGACCTTTGTTGCTTCCAGATAATCACAGCCATCCATCAGGAAAGACACCCGGAGTCAGACAGAGACTACACTAGTACGGCAACACAGGTATGTGACTGCTTGGATTAACCCTCAGATTCAATTCAAACCGACTATAGCCATACACAGAAAGTGATGTTTTATGAGGAACTGCTCGATGTTGCATTGCATTAGTCATTATATTTTCAACATGCTAACATCTCACCATCAATTTTGCAAGGACTGACAGAACAACAGGGTCTCTGCTGGAACAAATGTTCTTACTTGTTTCTATTATAATGAACAGGTTCACATTTCTCCTTTCTGCCTACATGGGAAACAATGTGACTATAAATACAAGAAACATCTATGTGTTGCTGATCTTTGATTCCCTTTAAATTTGATAACAGTTCAAGGGATATAAATGAAGGAATCTCTTTTACAAATTTTATCTGCAGATGAAGCCTAATCCTAAAAACACTAAACCACAAAAATATCCGCATTTCTTTTCTCTCTCTAGGACCTAAAAACATTGCTGTTAGCTTAGTAAATAAAGCAAACATTTCATAATTGAGTAATTATGACTTCCCTTGTAATACTTTTCACTTAGGCACAAAACATAAAAATGTGTACTAAGACGTTGTGGGATATTTAAGACCTGCGCAGGTATTGTGATTGGGCCCTAAAAGATTTTAGAATTACATCTTTTTTAAAATAGAAAAAAAGTGCTTAACTTGAAGTGCTTTACTGAACAAGTACTTGAGTACTTAGGTACAGTACTTTGTTTTGTCACATAATCCTTTACTTCAAAAACGAAGGATCTTTAAGAACAGCAAGAATGTTGACGATCAGTGACGTCTTGTTGACAATTTCAGAAACATTTTGAAGAGAAATGGAAAAATGTGAACCGTCTACTGAAACTGTCATATTAATGACACAAGAGTCTGTCAGGTTGTCTGCTCTGGTGCTGCAATACCATTAAAGGTTAAGGGCAAAGTGGACATAAAAATATATGATGAGTTACATGACAGTGCCTGACATGAATGAACCAATGACTTGTTGTCAAATATCTAACAAACTGAAAACAAAAACAAGCAGACTAAAACAGACAGAGCAATGAAGTTGTACTTCATTATTTACCATGGAATGTCTGAATGTGGAATGCTGTCTGATTATAAACCTTTAAATGATTTAATGAGTGGTCTAATTGCACTTATTTTCAAATTCACCCTTTTGAGTATTCCTGGGGTGACGAGCATAGGACATAAAGGAGAAAACTGCAGCATTTCTCTGGCTGATTTGTAAACACTAAAAACACAATCCCTTTATTAAAACACACACCTAAAATTCTGGAAATGCTATAAATGGTCAGTGAAATAAATCCTCTGTGCAAAGATAATTGTTAAGATCCATCGCCTATATATGATATGACTGTACATGTTTCACCAAAAACAAAAAAGTAAATGTGACAATGATCACAACTATTCCAAAAGTGTTAATCTTATTCTCAGGTGCAGATGACCTAATCCACAAATTTAAAGGACAACTAGAGAGAATGAAGAAATTTAGAGTGGTTTTCTCAACAGGATTTTTTGTTGTTGTTGTTGTAGAGCCTCCCAAGATCCAGTTAAAATCAATAGTGCATCACTTTCAGAACCTGGACTAAAAATCGGAACAAAAACCTTAATACCAACAGATTAGAGCAGTAAATATAGAACGATGACTGCTTTCATTTGGTGCGAAGCATTATAAACATGACGTGACAAAACCCCAGTCACACAGAACATTTGACTGCCTGAGACATTTGACTTCTCCGGGGCTGTAGGGTAAAGTTGGCTGCACTCAGTTTCTCTGGTGCAGTCCCAGAAGCTTTGGTGTCAGAGGCTGTTTCCATTAATCATGGAATTCAGATTTATCATGATGGTCAAGAAATTTAGAAGAGAGACAGTCAAACAGGGGAAACGGGAATAATTCTACAACACAAGTTGATGGAGAATCCCTTTGAAGATACTGTATATATTGAAGTCTTCCCAACTTCACTAAGAAAATGGGCCAAAAAGGGAAGTGTTCTAGTTCAACCTACGTCAGCTAACAGAGCACAATTCAGAACAAAGAACAGGGGGATTGTGCAGCCCACACTCAATAATAGCAACTGCCTGCTGAATGTTAATCACTGATTGATGACTGATGCTGTGATTGTATAACCAGCAGAAAGTGGCACAATTGGCCTGAGAGAATTTTTTTTGCAGTTTGACCTTCAGAGAGGACAGAAAAGGAGACAGTGTCTCTGCTGACAGCACAGACCTTACACTCCTGTCCAAGAAGCACAATGTAACAAACACTGTGCCAGCATCAACACAAGAGTGAATGATGTCAGCAACGTAACTCTTTATAAGGGAGTACACACTTATAGGGGAAAATCTAGAAATGGAACACACAGAACCACTGGTTGTGGTCTCTGCTGAGTCTGTAGCTTTGCTGTGCTACAAACATTCTTTGTTTATGGTCTTTCAAAAAGACAAGTTTGGTCAACAAAGGAAGTGTATTTTTAACACAACAGTAACCTCCAAGCTTGATGATGAGGAAGTGGTGACAAAAGAGGCAGAGGTCAGAAATGCAGTGTGTATTGAGACATTTCATTAGCTACATGGTTTCTACCCGACTTTCCGTGTCCCTGTCAGACCTCAGCTGGCTGGGAGAGCACTGGCTTAAATCCTTTGGCTGAGTGACAAACAAACCACACCAGAACCTCTCACCAGATAGAGAAAGATCTTAGGGCTTTTTTTGTTTTTTTTTTTTGTTTGTTTTTTTATTTTAGCTGTGCAAAATCTCACATTCTGAGGCTACATTCACACGTTTTTCCTCTTTTCTCTTTGTCAGACTCAAAATGTTGGCAGTCTCTTGTAGAGTTGCTACCAAACGTGATGCTACTTTCCTGCATTAGAACGTCCCTCAATGGACAGTTTGACCTCCTGGGGAATGAACGAGGGCCTAATGTGAGCGGAGGTGCTTACATGGGGGCGTGACCCCTCATCTCCCTTCACACTGAATCTTTGGAGGCCAGGTGAGGACCAGCGCCTCTGAGAAGCACCGGGCCCTTGATGCATTAAAAAAGCCGTGCCGTCTGTGTGTAAGTGATAGCTGCTGTGGCTCCTTGGATGCTCGGCTGATGTCCTACTTGGTCTGATGGGGGACTCGGAGTGGCCAACAGCACTCACATCTTTGCCTTCATCTATATCAGCCAGCTCTTTTTCTTCATCTCTCTGTCTCTCTCTGTGGACACGGTCTAACTTAAAATAAGACTGAGGCCGTGATTGGTGAGGGGCAGGCGGCCCCATAAGCTGGTGTCCAGATCCTGGTGTTGGATTGGATTTGCTCAGAGTTCTGGTCAGATTCTGCTGTGGTTGTTGCTGTGAATGACTGTACTGTGGCTGTGACTGTGACTGTGTGAATGACTGTAGCTGCTGCTGCTGTTGCTGCTGCTGCTGCTGCTGCAGGGTGATGGACACACATACATCTCCCACTTGCAGATTATGACAAGTTAAGCCATACAGCTGGGCCGTTCGCTGGGGGCTGCAGGATGACCAGCCCTGACCAAAAACAAAAAAGGGGTGCTCTGGGGGCACATCGATGGTCACCTTGCTCTGCTGCTCACCCACAGTAAAGTGAAGTGACACAAGTCCCGGTCTCTGCTGGCTGGCACGGATGTCTACCACCATACTGGAGTCAATCTTAAGACCTCCACTCACCTCAGCGCTCCGCACAAAGTCTTGAGTCTGGAGATCCTCCACACGCTTCAGTTCTCCAGTCGCCAGCTGAATGATAGCCCCTTTCATAAAGTGTGAGGGATTACAGGAGGAAGTTGGGGCAGGAGTGAGGCTTGAAGCCAAAACTTGAGTCACCTCTGCTGTAGTCTGGACAGGAGGATGCTGGGTAAGCTGCTGTTGAGTTGTAGGCTGCTCAACCCTTTCAATCTGGCATACTCTGGCTGAAGAATCAGAAACTTTAAAGCTTTGATTAATTGGGGCCATGTTGGTTGAGGCATGGCTGGTAGAGGCATCATTAGCAGTTTCAGAGTAGTGTTGCTGCTGTGTTTGAGGCTGATGCTGTGGATGATATTCCAAAGGAATGATAACTGGTTGGCCATTGGCAAGAACAACTGCGTGTTGTCCTGTTTGCTGCTGCAGCCCAGACACTCTGGGGTCGCTATAATTGGTATGCTGTACAGAGAATGCAGTTTGACTTGAGCCACTTTCTCCCTGGACAGCTCTTGCTCGCTGGGTATCCTGAGAGAGGTTCAAAGGAGCAAAGGAAACTTCTTTTCGCAGTCCACTACCACCTTGGCCAGAGGAAACCAAACGCCCCACCACTTGCTGGACCTAAAAGTCAATTCAAAGAGTTACGGAAAAATTTGTTTGACAAAATACAGATGTAAACATATATGAACCCTTTTTCTGAAGATTATAAAGGAAGTTATTACATGAACAAAACAACAAATGTAATGTATTTAAATCAAATGTAAGTCATTTGACATCTTACGAGTGATGATGACTGATTTAAAGGGCCTGCAACATTGTCTCATCTAGCTTCACACACCCCCATTTCCTCACCTTTGGTGTTTGTGCCTATATTCTGTCACCTATCTTGTGAATTTATAACTGGATCTGAAAACTTCGTTTTTTACCCCAGGTGTAGGACAGATCACAGAAGTTAAAGTCAGCTGTACTAGCTATACAAAAGTATTTTAAGACGTTCATGCTTGCATCTTACTTCGAGGTCACTGTCTGGAGTGCTGCGTTGGCCAGGTGAGTTCCTCTCTTCAAGCATTTGGTTCTGCTGGCTTCTATCTTGGCTGTGTTCCTGGGCTGCCTGAGGCCTTCGTGCAATTCTTGCGGTGTATATTGAGTCTGGTGTGGCTTCTCTCAGACGCTGCTCTTTATCCCTTCCGTTTATTTCTTGTTCATTTTCTGGCTGAGTAATGTGGGGATCTCTAGTTGAAGCCCTAGCTCCCTGAGGATGGTAGTAGAGGGACATTCCCCGGGAGCTGAGTTCGGATGCAGGAAGAATTCCCACAGAACTAATGTGCTGCTCAGCTGCTTGCTCTGATGGCAGCACCACCGGGACACCACTAGTTGCTGCCACTTTGGCAAAGGTATGAGAGGCTACTTGAGCCTGGGGTGGTGGGGTAACAACACCTTCCTGTATAACAGATGGATAAGGAACAAGATGGGGTTGAGGGATAGTGCCTGATGGGGAGATCAGTGAACCTGGGACAAAACCAGGAGTTAAAGCATAAGGTACTGCTGCATAAGGAGAACTAACAAACTGTAGGGATGAATGTGGGATCTGTGCATAACCAAGAGGAGGGTAGGGAAGGCCTGGGTGCTGTAGAAGAGGAGAATGAACAGTGTAGGCTGGAGAGATGTGGCTTAACACTGGGTGAAGACTGGTTTGTGAATAGGTCGCAGGAATAGCCACTTTGTAGAACATACTATACTGGTCCACTGGCACCGCTGGTACACCATCAGAATTTTCCATTCCATAATGAAGCCCTGGCTGGGCCCGTAGCCACTCTCCAGATGGATTGCCTCCCTGAGTTTCAATGTTTGTTGCTGAGTTCTGGATCGAAACTACTCCATCTTCTTCAACACCAGCACCACCACCACTAGTACCACCACCACTTCCATTTGTAGCACCACCTCCTCCACAGCCTCCAGCTCCACCACTGCTGGCAAGTGGGAGGTCCCTCTTCTTAGGAGGTAGGCACTCCTGGTTGCGCTCCTGAGCAGGTTTCATTGCAATCTTCTGGCTAGGATTGTATTTTTACTGTACAGCACAGGAACTGATGCTTGCAAGCCAATCGGCCTGCACACAAACCAGTTCTAAAATTACCTGGTTCAGGTTGTTTGCAAATTCACCTAAAAATAAAACAAAGAAATAGAGCCTTACAAAAATGTGCAGAAATACCTATTAAAATGCAAAACATTAATTACATTTTTTTAATGAAATCTAAAAAATTCTTACAAAAAAAACAACCTATTTAATGATCTGTTATTATGTTCAAGATTCTTTGCAGATTGTTTCCTCTATTTTAATACTGACACTCACATCAAACTCTTTAGAGATCATTGTAATGATCAAAATCAAAATCTGGAAGGTTTAATCTAGCTCTTGGGTGAAAAGATATAGTTTAAGAAGCTAAACAAGTTGTATCTATATTGAATAAAAGCTGCAAAAAAGCTGCAAAAACGTTTGGGACATTAATTGCTAAGCAATTAAAGTTGCATTGATTTAAATGAATTCTTATAGTTCATTAAGTAAAATGTATTTGTTTTAAGTTTGTGTTTTCATGCATACTGTATAGCCAAATTAGGTATTTGTTTGGGATGCACCGGATATGTGGCCACCCAAATGTTTAGCCCAAAGAATTGTATTTTTAAGGGTGTAATTGTTTAAAGGGTGACAAAAAAGGAATATGCTCATAAATAAATAAAGGAAACAAACTTCAACCTCTATATTGGGTAACAACCTACATCGCCAAATGTCAATAACAAACAGCATTATCGCATTGTTATACTTAAAGTGCAAAGTTTCTATTTCAACAGGGGTTGATTTCATTACAATATTCACTGAGGTTTGGAAATGAAGCTGCAGCAGGTTTCTCTAAAAACAAATTGGAAAAAAAAACAGTTAACGCATTATATATATATATATATATATATATTCACATTACCATTATTTATTAACGATAACTAAATATGGTATGTACTGATCGCTTCTCTTACACAACACTAAAGAGAAACTGCATTTGCCGTAAGCTTACAGGCTGTGAAGGCTAAAGTTAGCCACTTACTTAAAGCCTTGTTTATGTATTCATTAACGAGTGCGACACAGTGTCATTTAACACACTAACCACAGACACAGACTACAAGTTTAATCACCACCTCCTTTTATCTGAAGCCAGTAAATATTGACTATTTTTTACCACTGTGGCAGACTGACAGTGGTTAGCTCCTGGGCTAACACAGCTGTAGCTAAGCTACCTGAAGTGGCCTCACATCTGCATACAACGAAAATGGAACTGCGCAGGATGCCAGTTTTTTCCTCCCGTCTTTCCGTATCTACATACCTCCAAATGTCATTGCGGACAGACGGTTGCTCATATAGACGTTTATATAAAAAGCAGATATCCAGGGTTGAAAATTGAAGAAATCAAGGCAAGGCAGTCGAGCCCATTTCGAAGGCCAGCAGAGGCGCTCACCTATGACGTCACTGGGCTATTCAATTTCCTGTTCTTTTTTTTTTTTTTTTTTTAAACAAGATTTAATACCCGACCCAACACTAACACAACGGAATATAATGGAAATGTCAAACTAAACTTCCCCAAATGCAAAAACCCACAGAACATGTCTCTAACAGATAAACAAATAAAAAAGCTCTCTACTAAACCAGTGACAAATGTAGCAAATACTGGCAGGCAGGCTCGTTTTGTCATTCTGCTCATTGGTTTCATCAGAAGTTTATATAAACTGGACAAACTTTTTCCACTGACAAACTGCGGGTGTCAAGTGTCTATGTTCTGCTCGTTTCAAGTGTATATAGCTTCCTCAAGGTCTGTACCTACCACAAGGTCTGGACTGTGTAAATTGGCCATAATATAGATGAAAGAAAATATCAAATGGAAATAGGATTTTTCTAGTGTTTCTAAATGCTGGATCTTTTGTTTGCACCTATCATTCACCTTCTTCTTCTTGCTCGCTGACCTGCTATGTTTACTGTAGCTTGATTGTTCCTCAAACTGTAAGTCACTTTGGATTAAAGCGTCTGCTAAATGTAATGTAACTTCAACACCAACACACTTCATCGATGACGTCAGTGTCATTTTCAATCGCCATACAATAACTGGACGTAGACATCAAGTATGTGAGCCTCATGATACTTCTTCTTTGCATACAATTGTATAAGTACTCAGTAGAGGGAGCTGCACCCCTTTAAACACCGTTATGGATATATGACAGAGATACTGTATATGTGAAATTACAACTAGAATGCAAGTGAACTTGAAAAATAAATTGTATTGATTAGTTAACGGTACACATGCCAGCCTGCTTTAGTTAGAAAAAAATGCTTCAGTGCAGTACCTCTAAAATCAAATACAATTTTTAAAGAAAAAAAACCCCCAACATTTTTGGAATGTTAATATAAGCCAACTAGTTCAGCATAAAATTACAAAAATGTTACATATTCCCAAAAAGGCACAGGGGTGTACAGTAGCAACTGGTTTTCTCTTAGACATTTGCATATCTCTATGAATACAACTGCTGTTAGTCTTTGTCAGACTGGGTGGAAACAGTCATCATCCAACTACAGCAGCAATAAATGTGAATTAATTAGTGGAAATATAAAGCATATAAATATCTCTCAGTAAAATATATACTAAATCCCAAATAAAAGTTATTTAGTACCATTAATTAAACATATTAATCAAAAACGTTCAAGCATATACAGTATTTATAATATTTGCCAAACATATTTAAAACCACCTTTAAACAAAGAATTTTGAGTAAAATGTGCAATAATTAGCAATTACGAGAACAGGTATGCACTCACATTATAAAATATAAGCTAAAAAGTTATTGCAAAATAGAAAAAATTAGGTTTTTAGTTAATAGGAATATCACTACAAACTAGTCCATCTTGAAACTAAAGCATCTCTCAATGCTACTGAATGGCAGCATGAAGACAGATATATCATCTGTCCAGTGGTGCTTTATTTATAATTACAAACAAACTTGTTGTAAAGGTACTTAAACATGAAACAGTGCTAGCTTTTTAACCGTTTTGTTAGAAGAAGTCTTAACCACTGAGCCACATTACTTAGGTACATCCAAACCAGTACCTAGTCCAGCAGCTGGTGAAAATCTCAAAATGGACTTTCAGGCTCTCTATATGACATAATGTCTATCTATGAACAATTATATATACAGCTCTGTATAAGACTTAACCTTCTTATCCTTGTACTGAATTATCTCAGCTAATGTTATGCTTCACTGAGCCAGTGTCTAAAATTGGATTCACTCTATACACGACTAGGTACTGGTTTGCCCCAAAGCCTTTTCTGTCCCTTTAATTTTCAATTTCATCTGCATTGCCTTACCAGAAGGCTTCTAGCTAAGAACAAGAAATATCTGCCACAGATTAAAGCCCTCACAGCTCTATAGTAAAATATCTGCCCCCTTTTCTGTTTGAAAAATAAAGTACATCTACAAAGTTAGACCCAGAAATCATACAGTCTGTTAATTAGAGCAACCAAAACAATATAAGCACTTGAAGCAAAAATGTGTGCAAAAAATATACACCCAATTACATTCCACCAGATTCTCTGTTTAAGCCGTGGAGTAGAACAGTCGTTAGCAGTGTTATTTAAGGCTCCTCTTTCTAAAACAAAAACAAAAAGCAGAAAAACAAGTCAAATTTTTGAATAAACAGTTCCTGGTAAGCACAACCAAAGACAGTACAAGGAAGTCAGTGTTCAGGGAAATACGTCATCTTTCTTTTCATTAAAAAGGTGCACTTTTCTTCTTTTCAACAGACCTACTTCTTACTCCTGTTCCAACTCACTGTAAAGACACAGTAGTCGTCTAGAGGGTCAAAAGTGACCTCACATAAAAAAAAATTTAGATGGTGATTTCACAGCCAGCAGATTTATCACAGTAACAACTCACTGGTCAAAGGAAAGATGTCCTTTCGTAAATCTGAACCCTCATCAATCATTAGTTTAGCTTAAAATGATTAAATACTGGTCTAAGTTATACTTTTATATATTTCTCATTTTCATTTTGGGTTTTATGAAAGAGTAAATATAAAGCCCAATAAATTGCCTAAGACATCTACCTAAGAAAACCCAACACTCCTCAGACAGTATCATTAACAAGAGTCTCTGTAGAAAGCCAGATTTTCGCCCCATTCAGAAACTTGCTGATAGGAGTCCCATGGATGCTGCGGCGGCACAGATTTCCCACTGGAGTAAATGGAAAAGAAGAGGAAAGGTAGTCTGGAGATGTCGAGGAGTCATTCCGTGATTTGGCCCTGAAATACATCCTCCTTTGGTGTGAAGACGGTCTTTTTGGGCTGGGGAGCGGTGTGCTGTCAGGACTCGGTCCTTTATATTGCCTGAGCTGACTCTGTAGGCTCTCAATTTCGTCAAACAGTTGGCATATCTTATGGTAGGCCGTGATTGTGCCTCCTTTGGGTATGCAGGCCTCAGGGACCCAACGAAGAAAGTAGAGCTTCCAAAGGGCCATATGAGAAGGCAGAAGCAAAGGAATCAAGAGGCCCTTCTGGTCTGTAGGCTGAGAGAACCAGTCCCTGAAGAAGCGCTCTGCAGGGCTTTCAACTTTTATTAGAGAGAAATCTGGCTTCAGCTCTGATATCAAAGAGCCTTTTCGGGTCAATGTTTCCTCTCCACTCCTTAGGCCATTACGTATGGAGGCACTGGATCCTCGCAGTGTGGAGCTGTAGTTTTTCTGCTGGAGGAAGAAAAGTGACATTTAGAATATCAACTACCTTTGTGGCTTACTTCGAACATCAGTGATTATACATTCAAAACTAAAAAAAGCTTCATATCCTGTTCCTCTGTTCCAATCATTTATGCCCTACAATAAAGTGCTGTTGTAGAAGAATGTTATATTATGCAATTATAATGTGTTGTCACTTTGCCTGTAAGCAAGTTACGTACCTTGCGCGTAAAGGATTTAACTTCCCCATTCTGAACACAGGCAGCTCCTTTGCCCACGTACATGGGGTTATTGAAGAGAGTCTGGTCTTTGACAGATAACTGCTGTGACCAGTCCCAAACAGGAGGGAAATAGAAATCCTGCTCTTCTCCTGGAGGGATAGCCTTTTGCTTGGCAAAGTCCTGTAGATAATAAGAAACTTATTTTTGGTCTTTCACAGAAAACTCAGACAAGATTCAAAAGTTATAAGACATGAAGTGTGATGTGAAATGATAAAAAATGAAAGAACACTTCACATGTAGAGCTGGTTTAAATTTTAAGGTAATTTGTCTTCAGTTTTTTTTTGTTTCAGGTTTTTACTCTCCCTATGCAAGAAGACTTTTGCACTTTAATAACACATTTAATATCTAAAGTTCAAAGTGTGAGTTGAACACAACAGCTTTTGTACAAATACATAATATTCCCACTAAACACCAGATTAGATGATGCATCACATACCATTAAGCACTGTGAGCGTTGTTTGGAAGAATTGAAAAGGAAAGTACTGAAGAGTGGAATCCACATGCTGTCACTGAGCACTGTCAGATAAGTCTCTGTGAATTCAAATGCTGCTGGATACTGGTTTATCATCTGCCACACGCAGTCCAGAAACAGCATGAACACTGGGGACTTAAAAACAAGAGAAGGAAACCATTACATGAAGCAACAAAGTCCTGTTGTAAACTAGTATGTTTCTTCTACGACTGAGCATATTTAAATTCACTATATACCTCCTTGTCATTCTTCTTCAAGTGGTTGCATCTGTCCAAGAAGCGATGGCCAGCCATCACCCACTCCTTCTGCACCAAACTCTGGAACCCGTTACGGCTGCGGTAGTGAGGGTCCAACATGAGCTGCACCAACGAGGACACCACACAATTCAGGTCTCTGTCTTCTTCCTCTGTGCAAGGGCAACAAGAGTAAGTGTTTACACCTCCTGTAATACTAACATAAATAGTACTGTTCATGTATGTTACAGATCGGCAGGGAAGTCAAAAAGATCTAAGAGAGATATAATCATATAATCATGTCTGTTAGGCATCTTCAACAGCTTCACTGGGTTTTTTTTTCTTTTTTGTCCAACATTGAGCTATGTTACCATTTATTTGGTCAAAAAAAAATCTCAAATTTGAAACTAAACTTCTTAAAAACTCTTTTGAAGGTTCTGAATTTGCCTCATCAGATTTTTCTTTTATGGAGACTTCAGCAGCAGATCATGTGACCTGGTGTGAGGTGAAAGTGATTTATTGTCATTGTGACACAGCACACCACTGCACACAATGAAATCTGTCCTCTGCCTTTAACCCTCCACCTTAGTGAGCAGTGGGCAGCTTAAGCCGAGCACCTGGTGGTGATCAGTGCACCTTGGTGGAACCTGTTGGCTGGTGGATTTGAACCTGCGACTTCCTGACATAAGCCACCACTGCACTCCACAGAATTCTAAAGAGAAATTCTCTGATGGAAACACTTAAAATTACAGAAGGGCTACTATTTTATTATTAAAAATGAAGATGCCTCACAAGTCTTTTTTTACCCTTTGATAAGAATTATCCATAAGTCCATACTCATCCGGAGTTAAAATTAATAAATACATTCAAATACATCAAAACATGTATTTGAGAACAACAGGTAAGTGTCTTTTCAAACCTTGCAAAATGACTGAAGAATTTCTTCCATCCAGAAAGTAAACGATCTCAGCAGACTGTTTCAAAAAAGCCCTGGAGTCAAAGACAGAATACAAATGTTCAGTAAGATTCAATTCAAAATTTTGACAAAGCTTTTGGGGGAAACTAGGAAAATGGTCACTAAACAGATACATCTGTTGCTGCCAAGCATAAAATTGTAGGATGAGGCAATTTCTAAATTTTACAAATTGGTCCTCAACATTTGTTTAGAATTAAAATATATATATACATATATATATATTTTTTATTATTATTATTTTACATTTAAAGTTCACATATTACTGTACATGATATTGCATACCGTATATTGACACAGTAAATATTGACACAGTAAATAAATAACTTAAAACCTTGGAAATTGCAATCAAGTAGCTGTTGATTACTTACCTGACATATTCCAGCCATCGTGAGTTTTCGATGGATGAAAGCCACCTCTCCTCAGACTCCTCAAAAGGTTCTGCACACAAAGGGAATACTTTCAGTTAAAATATCTCTGCTGTGACACTGCTATCACTTGTTACCAGTGTGGCTCACCTATGACACAGATGTTTCTGACTTTTAAAAAGGCACTCTGGATGTCCTGGATATTAGGGAGACTCTTGTCCAGATCTATCTTTAAAATCTCATTTTGCTGTGGGTGGCTTTTTTGAATTGCAGTGGTGACTCTAGCACAGCACAAAACAAACATATGAACAAAATCAAATAATGATCTAGATCTATAAAAAAACTATAATACAAATAATGATCTAGATCTATAAAAAAAACTATAATAATTTATTTATTTATGAGTTACAATTACCCACACCAACAATCTAAAATTAAAAAATTAGAAAATATTCACACAATTAGGTCAATTAAGTTTTCTCTACCTTTTTTCTATCCTGTTGTGCTGTAATGGATCGCATAAGCTGGCCATGCGAACAAGAGCGCTGCCATTAGAGTGATTCCAGCACCAGAGCTGAGAAAAACAAACAAGATTAAAAAACTAAATTATCCACAGTTCACAAATGTGTAGACATGTACAGTTTCTGAGTTGGTTTACTTTAAAAATGCAACTAAAAATTTCTATCAGGAACACTAATAGTTGTACAGAAATATTTTCTGCAGTTGTCCCAAGCCCAAATGTACGTATACATTCATTCACCACTGTAGCAAGTCAGGTTTAAATGTGTTTTGACACGTCAAACTTATTGTCTGCTGAATACGGCCCAACACGTTGTTTGATGTGGCCCATCAGAGCTTAACATGAGTACACGTCTTAAAATAAGTCTATGGTATAGAGCCTATTCTAATGTTTACTGTATGGATTAGATTCAGTGGTCAAATTTTATAACATATACATAGCCTGTGATACACATTTCCAATTCTTATCAAGTGTATGGTTACCTTAAACTACATTGCCCATAATACAGTTTTAATGCAGATAATAGAAATGAATTACTCACAGGGATACGATTGTCAGTGAACTCTTTGGAGAACTGCTTTAGATCCTGATCTGTCAGGGAAACTGGGACCACGATGTACTCTGCAAGACTATTTGCATAAAGAGTGATACAAATAAATCAAACACGAGCCTTACCATTTAAAAAACACCCCACTTACTTTACAAATGAGCCAAGCTGATAATGCTGACTTATAATTCTGTCGTGCAGAAATTACTTGTTAGCAAAGAATTTTTTTTGCCCCGTCTGTCTGAAATATTTTATTAGGTGGTGTTTTTGTGAAGCGGCAAAAGTAAATTGCATGTAAATGGAAGTATATTTTCCAGTCATGTGAAGTGCCATTTAACATGAGGAACTACGATGCTATTGACTTTTTTTTTCTTTCCACTTCCTTTATGAAAATACTGCATTGACCTTTCTCTGAAACCCACTTATGATGTCACCAACAGAATACAGATGAATAGCAAGTATTGTCAAAAGCTAACACTGACACATTCATGATATTTTTCCCTTAAAATGCTGCTTGTAATAAAAACCAAATAGGTGCAGAGAGTAATACCAAAGTACAAAGTAAGTTACGAGTGGGAA